TCAACATGACATAGATAACAGCGGAACCAACATAGCTTTCTAAAATATCTAAAAATTAACTTTTAAAAATAAAGAAGAGAACGGGTTATTTACTCCCAATATTACCTTCCTTTTTTTCTTCTTCTTTCTTTCTATTTGTCTTCCACTTCTTCTTCCTCTCTCTCTCTTTCCTTTTTCTCTCTCTCTCTTTTCTTCTTAAGTTTCTTAAAAGGGAATAAATCTTTGGTACTACTGTTGTACCAAAGATTCAGTGCATCCTATCAATGAAAATATTACATGTTAGCTAATTTTTTTTTTCTGTCAGATTTTTTCTCTCTCCTCTGATGTGTAATGCTCTCATTGATGAGATGCACTGAATCTAGGGTAGGAAAGATTTATTCCTTCGAAGAAGGAATGAGAACTAACCCCTCTATCCTATAGTTAACTAATTCTAAGGTTTTCGAATGTAGAAAGGTAAGAGTCATCTTAAACGGCAATTTATGAGATTTGTCCGTAGCACAAGATGCACACGCACAAAGATTTTAATAAAATAAGCGGAAATATTACAATAAATGAGAGATTTTGTACAACTATGGGGGCACGGCGGTATCCTTCTCATTCTCAACATTACTATCTCTTTTTTTGAAATATTCCATCGGTTCATCGCTTCGCGATTAGTCCGATTCGGGGCGGGTCCAGGATTAAGGCTTTAAACTCCTCCCAAAGGTGATACTGGGGAGATTCGAACACATGCCCTCAGCTTCCATGCGCCAACTGAGCTACCACCATTTGTTCTCAACATTACTATCTCTTTACAAGAGCAAAGCTGAACTTTGTCAACTATCGTTTACATATTGTAACATGTACCATTAAAGGTAGAATACTGAAATTCCGGCCCTCCCTTTTTCTTTTTACCAGGCTTTTTTTCCCTCTATTTTTTTGTATTTTTTTCCTCCTCATTTTGATTGAGAAGATACTGTAAAAAATAATCATGCCAATTTAACATGATTGAAGATAATTAATTATTAATTATTAATTATTTGATATAATTTTTCTTTATTACTATCATTTAATCACATGTTATTAAATGTTAAAGAGTTTGGGAAAATTTTAACTCTTAATTGAGCATAAAAAATCACAGTTGTTGATATTAGATATTAGGTATAAGGGTAGTTTAGTATTTCAGTGATATTCTAGATCTTTCTCTTTTCTCTTATGCTCTTCTATATAAGAGCTCACTCATTGTACAAATGATTCACCACAATCAATGAAATCAATATTTTCCATTTACTCTCTTTTACCTTCTAATATGGTATCAGAGCATTTTTATCCTCCATGAATGGAGGTTCCGCTGCCAACATTTTTTTTTAAATCTCTTCGTCCAGATATCCTCTGCATCTGTATCTTTTCACTCCTTTTCTTCCAGATCTGTTTTGCTTCAGCATTTTTTCTCCTCTTTTCTTCCAGATCTGATCCTGATTTGTGAATTTTCTTTTCTTTTTCTCATGCATCTTATAATCTATCGGTTGATTTCAACATCAGAGATGATGCTTTCAACTCTCTCCTCCGAAGACTTCCTCTCCGGCGAGTCACACCATCAGGTTCGCTGTTGCAGTCCCACAGTGCAACTGCCGTCGTCCGCTTTCAGTTCTGGTTCGTAGTCAGAACCTGTTCGAATCTCCGTCGTTCTGTTCTTTTTCGGCCAGTCACCGTCGAATTTTCAGCTGCGTCTTCTTATTTTCCGGTCATCATCTTCGACCGCGGCTCATTTTCCGGCCGCATCATCATCCCGCCGACCTTGTTCCAGATCGTTCACATTTCAGATCTGCATTTTTTTTTCTTCTCCCACCGTTTCTGTAGATCGTTTCAGATATCATCCATCTCATTTTTTTTCCTTCTCCTTCTCTGATATTTCTCTTGCTCGCATGGTTCACCATTCGCGTCCTTGTTGGTGTTGGATTTTTCATCAGATCTATAATTTTTTTTCTCATCTATTTTTTTTCTTTCCATTTTTTATATGTGTTTTTCTTATGTCTCTCCTATTATGGACTCTCCGATTAATGGCCTTTTCCGGAGATATATTTCTTTGCTACTGAGTGGCTTCTATTTGGCCTTGATTCCATGGCTGGGATGTTGAGTTTTTTGTTGCACACTAACTGTTTGCTGCTTTGTGTCACTAAGCCATTACGCTTTAGTTTCTGCAATTTTGTTCAGAATTCATTTTTGGGTTATGTATTTGTTTTCTGAATTTGCTTATGCTGCCATTCCTATTTTGGACGTTCTGTTGATGTTAGGCTTGTATTTGGCCAATTTGATTTTATTCCCACATATGTTTGTGGTGTTCTTCAAGTCTGATTTGACTTGTATTTGGTTTATTTTTGCCATTGTTTTGGCTGGCTTTATTTTGACTTCCTATTCAGGGGGAGCATTGTTCATGTTGCTGATGTTTATTTCAGCACATTTGATTTTGCCGATGTCCATCCCGGCACCGTTTGGTATTTTGTGGCTGATGTCTATCCCAGCCCTCTCTTTCCTTTGCTGATGTCCATCCCAGCCTTTCCTTCCTTTGCTAATGTCCATCCCAGCACATTATAGCTGATGTCCATTCCAGCACTGTTTCTTTACCGGCTGATGCTCATGTTATTTGGTTATTATGTTTCCTTGATTTTTCTTGTTCAAGATGAAAGTTCTCTTTGTTCACTCTCCATCTTGAGGGGGAGTATTAGATATTAGGTATAAGGGTAGTTTAGTATTTCAGTGATATTCTAGATCTTTCTCTTTTCTCTTATGCTCTTCTATATAAGAGCTCACTCATTGTACAAATGATTCACCACAATCAATGAAATCAATATTTTCCATTTACTCTCTTTTACCTTCTAATAGTTGAAGTCATTAGGAATGACTTAGTGATAAGGTACTTGTGTAACTTATATGTGATTATAGATTTTAGTGCCATTATTGTATAAAAGAATACAATCATAACTCTTAATTCTCCTATATTTATAAAGGAAAAAGTATGTATCATTTTGAAGTATATAAAGTTGTATCATTTTAAGTGAGAGAAAGAAATAAACCATAAAAGCAAAAATGAGTGAAAAAAAATTTAAATATATAAATCTCACCTCTTTGTGAGAGTGAAATAATATAAAGTATGTTATTTAAAATGACACATCTTTTTCGCATTTTCAAAATAAATGGTTCCCCATAGATAATGAACATATATGTGGTAATATTTATATCAGCGTGATGAAATGCATCTGCCACCTTATTATTCTCTTTGGAAGAATTCTAGAAGTTTAATCCGTCCACTTTCTCTGGTCAAATTCAGAAGTTGATACTAAAGTGTTTATTGAGGATGTGGAGCAGTTATTAATTTGCACGTGTTCCGTAAGATAAAAGTAATCATTTTTTTCACCAAAAAAAGAAGAAGTAATCATTTAGCAACATTGGTTAAACTAAATTCTGATAAGCTAATAAAAGGATGAAGATTCTAGCAAACGGAGGAATAAATTTTTGATGTTACTCTTGTAGTATCTGAATCTTCTTATGTGAAAATTCACATGATCATATCATGTGAGTAATTATAACCATATATAGGTGGATCAATGGTAATAAAGAATGAGAAAAAAAAATGTTAAAATAGGTAGTTACGAAATCATAATCGTTGATTTACTTTTGTATGGTTGCGATCTTTTCACATGACCATATCATATATTTTTTTTCACATGAGAAGATCTATTTCCACTGTTGTACCAAAGATTCAGTACATTTCACGAATAAAAATATTATATGTCAGTTAAAAAAAAATTTGTTCTGCCAAATTTTTTTTCTCTCTTATGATGTGTAATGCTCTCATTAGTAAGATGCACTGAATCTTGGTGCAATATTAACACCAAAAATTTATTCCAAATGAAGTAACTTGTCTCAGTATCACTTTTCAAAGTTTAATTAATACATTTTCCCATACATACATAAACTAATTATATAAGTAGACATTCTATAAAAAGATAAAACAGCGGTCCGCATTCACCTTAATTAATTCATGACAATTAAGGGGCACGCATGCTTCTTTTGATCTTTTTTATTACAAGTGACGAAAGTTTACAATAATTGAATTGACTGAAACGACCTTCTTCCACTGAGTTGAAAGTGATCGATATTCAACATTACTCAGGACATGCATAAATTAAAGTCAGTTTATAGTATAAAAAAATGAAATCCACAATAATTGACTTAACGAGGAAGCAGACGATGGCATATGACCTATTAAAAACCTATGTTTGTTTTATCCAAGTGGAATTGGAAAGTTGTGATTTTATTGACGAATTATAGGTTTACCCGTCAGGATTGACAGCACGGAATATACCTTCCCCAGTTCCCACCCACCAACTATATCTTGAATTTATTCTTATTCGCTCTTAAATATATATAATACAAGTTATTAATTTGGAGGTTTTTTTGTTTTTTAGTTTTTGTATGAGAAATTTAGCCCAATATTTTTTTATAGATTTTTTATGATTAAAATAATTTTTTTATTAATGAATAAAAAAATTAAAAATTTCTAAGAAATTTTTTTGTTAACATGGCGAGCCATTTTTTGAAATTTTTATATTTGTTTCAGTTATAAGTTTTGCCCTTTACCCTAAAAGTTTACTTTAATAATGAATTATTCCATTATTTTACTTCAAAATCCTAAAAATAACTTCATATAATCATTAAGCAGATTTTAACTTTTACTCTTTTTTTTTACTTTTTCTATTACTACTTTAGTAATTCCTTTTGTAATTTATTTCTCAATATCCACCGTGTGGATGTAATTTTGGTACTTAGCTTTAAAAAAATTCAAAATCCAACGAAATGACAAAATTCCAATATTGTGAGTTTGAGAATCCGTGTGAGACCAAGTCCTCTATATAAGGAAGTTTAGCTTCCCCATCATTCACAAACAAACACCCTTCAATCTCTTGCTCTCCCCCTTGCACCTCTTCTGAAAGAGTGAAAGAGAAAGATTTTTAAAAAAAATGGACTTTGTGAAGAAGTGTAAGAGGGTATGCAGAAGCAGCAAGAGATTGCATGCTGAAAAAGAAGACATTGGCAAATACGGTAAATTGTCAGAGAAGCACATGCAAAAGAAGAAGAAGAAGAAGAATAAGCCTCAAGTGGCTCCGCAGGGTTGTCTTTTTGTCTACGTTGGACCTGAGAGACAAAGATTCGTAATAAAGATCAAGCTCACAAACAACCCTTTGTTCAAGACTCTTTTGGATGCTGCTGAGAATGAATATGGTTCTAGAAACGATGGTCCCCTATGGTTACCTTGCAATGTTGATTTTTTCTCTGAGGCATTGGCAGAGATGGAGAGCCCTGAGGATGATATGGGTTTTGTAGGTTGCAACTTTCCAATGGGTCACAAGCAGAGCTCCTCAGTTTTCCACAGTCCAATGTCTTATCGTTCTAACCTGAGTTTTGCTGCCAATTATGAGCTTTTGGTATGTAAGTAAACGATCAATCATGTAGATATGTGATATAGTGATAGGATCCATAGTGACCATTTATTAATTTAAGAGACTCTTGTAATTTGTGACTTTGTGAAACAGATTTTCTTTCATGATATATGTTTCTTTTCTTTATTTTTCTTTTGTTTCCTTCTTGGAGGGAATGGGGAGAGAGATTTTGTAATCTAACTGAATACTAGTTAACTATGTGCGTTAATCAAATTTTCTTTTGTTATTTTTATGCAATGAAATCTCAATCATGATCATCTCATCGAGCACTCTTGTATTTCATATTTTGCATCATCTAAGGAGAGGCAAAAGCGTTCTTGCAAGAAATTTATATTTAACCATACACAAAAAAATATGATATTTTTATAATATTATAGGTAGGGTTTTTGCATATTCTATGTAAAAATCAAATTAAGTTATTATTATTAGTGAAAATTATTTATCCTTTTAAAGGATATAACATATAAGCTCATGTCCTTTTATCCTCTTATAACTATGTAATTCGGAGAATATATAGTTATAATATTAAAGTTGTTTTTATTTCTCTCTCTTCATAAACTTGTCGGCTGACATGGAGAGAGAGAAAAAAAGGGTGAAGGGACATAAGCTTATATCCTTTAAAAAGACACCACACTAAATCCTTTTTATTATTTGTTGGTTTATTCAAGTGTGATGAGTCCCACATTGGTTGCTTAGGAGTAAAGTCCATATAAATGAAAGGACCCATGAACTCAATGTCTTAAGATTTTGGGTTATGACATAGTGTCGGATCCACGTGCTATGGATGATGTAGCCTTAGCTCATTGGTGGTTGTCTCCCATCATGGGCTCCTCCTAGACCTGTCTGACAGTGGTATTAGAGCCGGGTACGGCTCGGGCTAGCCAGGTGTTTGGCTATAGAAGGCGAGTTGAGTACTTTGGGCCTGGGTACTCGGTTGAGGAGGTGCATACCAATGGTGAGTTTGATTGTTAGAGTATTCAAGTGTAATGAGTCTCATATTGATTGGTAATGGACTGAGTGAAGTGGATATAAGTGCGAGCGAGGACCCATGAACCTAAATAGTGGTTGATGTCAGACCCACTTGGTGTGGACGGTCTAGCGTAACCCATTAGTGGTGATCCCCACCACGAGATTCCCCTGGACCCGCCTAATAGTGGTATTAGAGGCGGGTTGGGCTCGAGCTAGCGTAGTAATTGACTAGTGGCGGGTTGAGTACTTTGACCTAGGTACTCGATTGAGAGGGAGAATATCAATGGTGGGTTTTGTACTTGAGGGGGAGATTGTTGGGTTATTCAAGTGTGATGAGTCTCATATTGGTTGCTAATAGGCTAAATGAAGTTCATATTAGTGGAAGGACCCATGAATCCAATATCTTAAGATTTTGGATTGAGATGTAATGTCGGACTCACTTGATATGATGGTGTAGCCTTAACCATTGGTGGTGTTCCCCCCGTCACAGGCTCCTCCGGAACCCGCTTGACATCATCATTATTAATTTATTATTATGATTTTGTTCTTTACAAAACTAATATTTGAGGCATGTTTTGTTTTAATTATTTTGAGAAAGGTATTTTTTTTTTCTTTTAAAAACCCTCTTTACAAACTTGGAATTATAAGTTAATTTGAATCGAATTATTCTAATTGAAATAGACACTAACTAATTACGAAGTATTTTTTTCGATTTTTGCACTTGCTGCATTGATTGCGGTAGCTGGTAGGATAATAATCCAAATTGAGAAAAAAATTGTTTCCAAATTTATTCATGCACACCAACCTTAAATAATAACATATAAATGATCAACAGTACAGTAAATGTTCTTTTGTCTTGTAACTATAACATATTCTTTTAAGGGTTTTATATATATTATGTTGTAGGACATTTTTAGTGTCATGTTACTCTACTCTAATATATTTGATGTGGGTACCACTCAAAAAGAAAAAAATTAAAAGAAAATAAGGTGGGTCCCATTTGTCATGTGAGAGTATAAAACCCTTCTTTTAAACTTTCTTCGATTAGAAAACAACAATTATAAGCAAAACACGCCTACAACATAACATTACTAATGAACGAAAAAACTCATGTGGTCTCATCTCATTGATTCATATCTCCATCAATGCTTCAAACTTTTTCATGGCAGAAGCAGGCAAACCCAGGAGCACAGTTATGCTTTTCCTTTCTTCACTATGTATAAGAACAAAATGACGTCCCTTTCTGGCAAAGTCGCAGGACCAAAAGATTGAGGCTTCCCCCATCCGAAATCTGCTCAAAGGATCTCCTTTGCCTTTGGATTCTTATCGTCGTGCTCTCCATCGTACTTATCATAGACCGAAGCATCAACAAGTTAATTTTAAAGAATATTAGAAACCTCTATTATTTTGATAAACACAAATATGATAAAAAATAAAAGACGAAGGTTCTAAAGATGAAGATTTTAAAAGGAAAAAAAATATCTAAGAATGAATAAAACTTTTTTATCAGAAGAGATCTTCCTCCAAAAAGATTTGTACTCATGCAATTGGAAAACTTATTATCAGTAAGCACTAGCATGGCTGAAAAAATGTCTACAGAAACCAATAACAAGAGATAACAAAATCAATCGTAATCCCTTATTAGTATTTGATGTCATGGATAGTTATGCAGAAGAAGTGGAAAAAAATTGAAAAGAAAAAATATGAATTCTCAAACAAATATGTCAAGATATTGTAGTTGAGTAGAGTGATAGAAGTAAGAAATCACAAATCAAATAGGTTTATTTTGAATTAAACTCAAAATACATGCATAGTAATGTATATATGTAACAATGTCAAGTAAATAAAGTTCTAATTATTTACCTTCATAAATTTTTATAGATCCATTAAATCACAATAACACACATGACTCTACCTTTTCTACTTTTCAAAGGCTTCATGATGAACTTAATTCCTAACTACCCTATCTGCCATTATGGTAGAGGGTAAATATCAGCCAACATGTTAGGATTGTTCATCACGTTACTCAACATTCGCTGACAATAAATGCGTGCAACTACTATATATATACGAGGAATGCACATCAAACATTTGATTAACTCAATCAATTGTTTGTGGTCAGCTCCTCCAATTCCGTTACAAAAGTTTCCAGAGCTTTGAAAAAGAAACGGAAAACAATACTAAAAGCCATACCCTTTGCATACCTTCATAACCAAAAGTGAAAATAGAAAAAATAATTTATGGGAACCAAATATATAAAACAAACAAATAGACTAATTTATTCCTAGGCCTATAACAAGTAGATTGTTTTCCCGAACATCGTTTAGTCATTCACGACGCAAATGCATGTGGCAAGTTGCAAAATCAATATATTAGGACATTATATTACATGTTAGTATTTTTCATGACTTACTCTATAAATACACGGAATTTATAAACGAGGAAAACACATCAAACATTATTCCATAAATTCAGTACTCATTAGTTTGAATACATGATGATTTCCCATACCTCAACCATGTTTCTCCTCTTCTTTGTCTGCAGCACATTCTTATGTTTCTCTTCAAGTTCTAATATCCCAACCCAGTACTCCATATTGGGCCCGAACCTTGACAAGCTTCCTTCTCAGGATGAAGCCATCCAACTGTTCCAACTATGGAAGAAAGAGCATGGACGGGTCTACAAAGACCTAGAAGAGATGGCAAAAAAATTTGAAATTTTCGTGTCCAATTTGAAGTACATAACAGAGTCTAATGCAAAGAGAAGGTTTCCTTCTGACTACTGTCTTGGTTTGAACAAGTTTGCTGATTGGAGCCCTAAGGAGCTCCAAGAAACCTACTTACATAACCTTGATATGCCCACAGACAGTGGCATGAAGCTCAATGACTCAAACTGTAATGCACCTTCATCCTTGGACTGGAGGTCTTCAGGGGTTGTGACTGGAGTTAAGGACCAACGAAACTGTGGTAAGTTTGCTGTGTTTGCAAGATTTCTGTTAAGAGTAATTCTACGTACTATGACAACAAAAAATATCACAAAAGATCTTAATTGACATGGAATGCTATAAATAATTAAGTCAACCTCACAATGCCCCCTGTTAGTTTTGACTTTTGAGTTTCAATATCTTTCATATTTGATGTGGCAGTGTCATCATTATTTGTTGGGTTTTATAACAGTTATGTTGTAGGAAAATTGATTGTGTAATATTATAGAGATTTGTTTTGCATGTCGTAATTTTTTATTTTTTTTACTTCAAAAAGTGTGGGCCTCACAAAATATTGTGTGTGTAAGAAACTTTCTTGTGTCATGTTAAACGATAAATGCAAACCCTTTATTTGTTATTATAAACTTGAAGTTTTATTTCAATTTTTGGGTGATGCCGTAATTGCAAATATAAAATTAGAAGCCCTAGAAAGTCAAATTTAGATGCTAATCCTAACATTAGTTATATTGTTTGTGCTTGCGCTATATTTAATTTGTTCTTCTGTTATTGAACTAGTAAAAAAAAACTATTGATGATCTAACTAATGTTAATTAGATATTTAACAATTATTTCATGATTAAATTATTTTAAAATATGAAAATAAGCGATTATACTAAAAATACTATTTGTAATTAATTATGACCATTGTATTTTCTGTTTCATTGGTTGTGGAATCCAGTTACATACATATGAAATTTATAATTGATTTAAAAATTAACGAAAACTTTTTTCATTTGATAAGCTCAAAACCTGAAAATTTAAATGACCGATGCTTTCAATAAAAATTATTATGATTATACAAAGTACGTATCTGATAAAATAAAATAAATAATATATTATTGCATCATTTAATAAGTTTAACAACTTACAAGTTGCCAAATTATTTAAATGACGTAACAACACATAATTTGGATGATATGATATAAAAAAAATTATCCGAAAATTGCATCAGCATTAAACTCTTACCTTTGATGTTTTCCAATAATTTATTTTTATTAGGAAGTTGTTGGGCATTCTCAGCCACGGGTGCCATTGAAGGAATAAATGCAATATCTACAGGAAAACTTATCAGTCTTTCGGAGCAAGAGCTTGTGGATTGTGACCATATAAGCCACGGTTGTGACATGGGATGGGTGGATAAAGCATTCGATTGGGTTATAAAAAATGGTGGAATTGCTTTGGAACATGATTATTCTTATACTGGAAAGGAGGGTACATGCAAAGCCTCAAAGGTTTCTTTTCTATCAATTGCTTATTTGCTTCCATCATTGAAATAAAGAACAAAATACTACTTATTTTTCGTTCAATTTTTGAGTTTGTTTTAACCCATTTTCTTTTCCTGAAGTAGATTCCAAAGAGTGCAAGCATTGATAGATATGATCACGTAGCACAATCGGATAATGGACTGCTGTGTGCAACTATTAAGCAGCCTATTAGTGTGTGTCTGTATGTAGCCACCGACTTTTTCCATTACAAATATGTAAGTCTTTTGTATCATTATTGTTACTTTTATCTACTTAATTGAAAATAATGACATCATCTCATATTTTTCTTCTTCATTTGTGTCTCTTTTTTGTTCAATCGTCAGGGAATCTATGATGGTCCTAACTGCCCAATAAATTCTACGGTTACAAATCATTGCGTGTTAATAGTGGGATATGACTCGAAAGATGGTGTGGATTTTTGGATCGTGAAGAATCAATGGAACACAACATGGGGAATGGATGGTTATATGTGGATCAAAAGAAACACTGGTTTACCATTTGGGGTATGTGCAATAAATGCATGGGCTTATAGCCCAATTAAATATCATTGAGCATCATAGAAACCCAAGTATAAGCTCCACGAGAGATCCCAAACTTTCAAATAATTATAGGCCCATCGAACGGGCAAAAGCATAAATTACTGTTTGATGTATCCAGAATTTGTTGTGTGTATTTGGCCAGGCATTCAGTAATGCTATTTTAATAAAAGGAGAGATATTGAATATTTTCTCATTGACAATAAAGTGATTGTTGGAATATATATCATAAAATAATGTGTGATGTTTCTACAACTTGCGTTTTAATCTTGGGAAATATAAGAATCATGTTGCAGGAGTGACACTGTTCATTCCTGCAACAAGGATACGGCGTCGTATCCTGACTTTGGTCTGACTTTTTTTTTAAGCGTGGGACCCACACTTGATTTGTGTGTGTAGGAAAGTACTATTGTCATGTCAAATGACAAAAAGGGAACCCTTTAATCTTTATGCGTTTTATACTAATTATTTACACGAAGCACACATTTTTTTGACATGCCCTGGATTAGAGTGTGAAAAAAACTAAATAAATCGAATCCAACGGTGAATTATTCAAACTGCATCAAAAGAATTACATTTTTTTTTGAACTGGTTTAAGAACTGAATTACTTTCTTTAAACCGATTCAAGAATAAAAAAAAAATTCTTTCAAAAATCAATTCTGTTCGAGAACTAAGCCACTTTATTATATCAATTATTAAATGAGGGATGCTACTTATATACTTTCAATTGTAATTCTATACGTATATTATAAAAAGATTTGAAATGTAAATCTTACAGGAAATGACATTATTTCGAGATGTCAAAATACAAACTATTAAACCAATATAGGGTATTAAGTCACCCCTTACAAAATCTAATTACTACAATCAAAATATAATTATGTTATAGTACAAAATTTTACAACTGAATAAAAACACATATTTTATTAGATATTTATCCTAGTGAAGATATTAATTAAAAAAGTTTTCACAAAAGTGTAGTGTTTTAACCCATAACTTAGTCTAGAAAAATCTTCCATGGTTTTAGTTGAATGATGTTAATATCATAATATTTTAAAGGGTTTATCATCTATCATTTAACATGATCACAAAAAGTTTCCTACACACACAACATTTTGTGGGGCCCGCAGCAAAAAAAAAAAAAAAAAAACTTCGGCACGCAAAACGAATCTCTATAACATAACACAATCACTTTTCCTACAACATAACTCTTATAAAACCCTATTTTAAAATAGTCTAATCACAAACATAGTTAACATTCTCTTCCAAGACATTTTCACAAGTATGAATTTTTTCAATTTATACTTTGCAAGGACGTTTTCCTTACCTCATCTTGTGTAATGAATCTGTTCCATAACTCAAGAAACTCAATTTCTTGACTGGATTTATATTTAAATTACTTTTTGTGAGAAATCACATAAATTTTTTAGGCAAACAAGTGTGCAGATACCTTTAAAAAGAAATTGTAATAATATATCATTACAAAAATTTGGCATCACAATAAAAATAAAAACAATCACATCACTACAATAAATTGCATAAAAGAAAGTTTTGAAGTGGAGAGTATATTTATATAAGGATTTTATAAGAGTTATGTTGTAGAAAAAGTGATTGTGTTATGTTATAGAGATTCGTTTTGCGTGCCGAAATTTATTTTTTTTTGCTGCGGGCCCCACAAAATGTTATGTGTGTAGGAAACTTTTTGTGATCATGTTAAATGATAGATGATAAACCTTTTATATAATTAAGATTTGCATATTTAGTGGTAGTGTGTCCTGCCAATTCTCATCATTGCTCTTTTTCTTTTTCTTTTTTTCTAAAATAAAAAATAAATCATAATAAATAGTGTTTAAAATAATTTATAATTATATAAAGAGAAACTGAGAAGTATTTAAAGATAAATAACATTTAGAAGGTAAAAAGTATTTACAATTTTTTTATCTTTTTATCTTCAAATTTTTAAATGAGAAAAAAGATATTTATAATCTTAACATATTTATATATATAAAAAAATTTAATAATGATAGCTTTAATAAAAGAAAGAGTATGAGCCTTAACTGCAGATAAAAGAATGGGTAAAAGTGTCTACCAAAAAAAAAAGAATGGGTAAAAGCTTACAAAAAAAGAAAAGAAAAAGAATGGGTAGAAGAGTTAGAAACCCTCTTATTTAAAATAGTATGTTAGATGTATTCAAAAAGAAAATAATATATTAGCGTATTGACTTATATGATGAGTTTGTCTCTTATGCAACCAATTCCTCAAACAGCTTAAGCAACTAAGAGGAGTATATAAATAGTTTGATTATATTTCTTAATATGCTTTTTCACGAAAGATTTTTTTTTTTTTTTTTTTTGGTGTTCAAACTTTAAGGTGTGAATATGCAGATGTCCATTTTTTTTGTTACCATGTGTTTAAATTTATCTTTTTATTAGAAAAATAAACGTGGCAATAATATCATTTGATCATAGGCTCTGATACTATATGTCATGTAACTAAGTCTCTTAATAGTTTAAGCCGTTAATAGGATGAGGTGGCACATAAATGATTTTATTATATCTCTTAATATTATATATTCACCTTTTTATCTTTTCTTAATATATAAAAAATAACAAAGTGTTTTAAAATAAATTTTAACTATATATGATGAAAAGTTAAGCATTGTTATAAAATAATTTAACTTAAAATTATCATTATTAATTATTCATTTAATGATTTCTGCGACATTTTGAACCTAATTCAACTTAATCAGTTATTTAACCAAATAAAGAGTAATTAAAACTATTTGGATAAAGCATCCAGTGATTGTGATGCTGACTGGGTTGGATTTTTTTTTAGGTAAAATAGGGTTCGTTGTTTTTATCTTGATAATGATAAATGCAATTGAACGATTATTGCAATATTACCTGTCAGAATGAAATCGACATTGTCCTAAGTGGAAAAAATAGTATCACCCATCCTTTACAAAAGATTATGCAAGAGACCATGCATTATTTCAGTATGCATTCGCAGACAAATAGCTCCATAATACTATACAAAAGATTAGTTTGACCCTCTAATGTAAATTGCACCATCTCTCAACTAAATTGGATGTGCTCTGGTAAGACTATATATCCAAGAAGAAAAATCATATTCAAGAGCATGAAACTGCCTGAAGGATATCCATAGGACTTGGTTAGAGCATATTAGTCAGTACTTGATGTTGATCAATCAAACGTGTGAAGTAAAAGAAAAAAAAAATTACTAAAAACTTAAACAATCCAAAAAGTATAGGGAAAAATAAATGAATCCATTTCAGTATAAAGTAGGTGTTTTAAATCCAGATTCAAACATTTGATTTCGTAAGAAAAAGTTTAGAGAGGGCAGACGGTGTCCTATTCTAGGGTCGGGCATGCCACAAACTTCAGGTAGGTTAAATGGAGTATTGTATGTTCGGAAAAATTACATTTTGAATTATCATGGTTCTTAATAAAAACTACATCTTGAATTAATATTGTGCATAAAGCATTAGGGTTCAAGAATTGATAAATTATTTAACAGACTAATTGGGGTAAAAAATAATAATTAGAAAACAACTTGTAAATATCTTAAATTTTTCTAGAGATATTTAACATCCCTCTAAATATGTTCTAGAATATCATCTCTACTCCAAGATTTGGTACATCTACACCATCCACCACTGTTAATTAAAGAGGTGAAATGAGACACTCTTCAGCAAAACTTCAAATTTCGCATTCAACTTCTACACCATTTTTTCCTTACAGGTTACAAGCACCCAAGTTGAATGCAGAGGGTTCAATTTCTTCAAGAGAATTTTCTTTTTCTTTTTCTCCTAAAATATTTTTAAAAATTAAAAAAGCTCTTTAAATAAGAGGGTAAAAAAATATATATGCAATGGAATTTTTCCCTTTAACTTCTTTCATAACATTAATTGAGAAGTGACTTCCATGCTTGTACATCATCATAGTTAATTTGAAAAAAAAAAGAGGCAACTAAATTTATGAAGAGGATGTAGTAACAAAGAAAACAGAGATGGCTAAACATAGAATGACTCCGCAGAACAAAAGTGAAGCTAAAAGCTTTTGGTTTTCGTATTAAGATATAAATAAGCAATCGATGAATCAGAGGTGCTCAACCCAAAGAAACCGCTAGCTGCTACCAAAGGGCAATAGAAAATTTGTATACAAAATCTGAAAGATGTGATCTTACATCTTAAGTAAGATTGGTCACATCATTTTTTGCTGCGTATATGTGTATTCATTTTCTGCTTTGGGCACTGGCTATCAGATTGCTGATAAATTACAGGTGGAGGCAACATTCATCTGGCCTAAGTAATCCGCAATCCCATTCTAGATAATAGAGAAAATTTGATGGAAACATTCGCAAATTTATACACTTTAACACTGATCTGTAAGTGAAGCCACAAATGCAGTACTACATCACAATGCACATGAAAAAGATGTATCAAAAGAATAATAAAAGTTCACACCAGCGAGAAAAAAAATGTTATGGTTCCCAAACCACATATATCAGTTCAGTAACCAACCTTGTTTAAGGTCCTCTAACCAAATAATATCTTGAGAAGCATGCGAGGCATATTTAATTCAAATACAATATTGTCACTCAATAATTAACTTTAAAGCACTACTTTGGTTCAAGACATCTGTTAGAGAATAATATAAATCATTAAAAAGATCCTTACCCAACATCTTAAGATTTTGGATTGAAATGATTTTTTACATAGTATCAAAACTTCAGTGATTACAAGGTCACGAGTCCGACACCGCCTCTACTTTCTAGTAGAATTAAATAAGCACAAGGTAAACCAAAAATTAGGCCTGTATAAATTCACGCTTTAAGCTCAAAGGGCTCTTGCGTGAGGAAGTGTATTAGAGAATAATATAAACTATTAAAAAGGCCTACACCCAACACCTTAAGGTTTTGGGTTGAAATGGTTATTTCCAACATCAGACCCTAAAGAAAACTCAAATATTTAACGAGTATTTCTTACATGTTTGCTTGGCAAGGCACTATCCCTGATGTTACATAAAATATGCTACATAAATTAGTATCTCAGGCATGAAATGAAGAAGCTAAATCACAAAATCTTCCACTTTCCCTCAAGGGCACCACAAATCCTTGTAATACAGTAAGCAGCACTTAGAGGGTACCCAGAAACTGCAAACAGAAAAACACAATTAAGTGAGAAACTAGACAATATCCCAACAGTGGTGCATATTAATTATCCGAGATATATTTTTTTCCATTTTTTGCATAGATACAATTAGTTTTCACAACAAAATTTAAGGAAAAGTAAAAATGATCCGAAGTTGAGGGGGTTGATTCCTAAGGTCAGAAGCTTTTAGCAAGTTCAAGCAAAACCTTTTACCATCCAAATAGGGCACAATTTAACCTTAAAAGTATTAATGGGAAGAGAGTATAACATTCCATTTTGGTTCATTATGTGGCCATCCTATCATAAAAATGTGGCTGTTCAGTTGCAAGATTCTGTTTATTCTTAATAAAATGCAAAAGTGGTTTCATTGTTTGATCAGACCAAAAAAGTTTTTTTGACTGAGCAAAGGATTCTGGGTGAAGACCAGCAGAGGTGGACCTCCAAATTGCTGGGGTATGACTTTGAGATTCAATATCATCCAGGTAGACAAAATCAAGATGCTGATGTTCTTACCCATCAAATGCTTTTGGCTGTGATTTCACAAGTACAGTTGCCAGACTTAGGGCCCGTTTGGATGCACTTTTTTTCCTTTAAAAGCTGCTTTTTTTAAAGAAAAAAAACACTTCTCACTTTAAGTTCGTTTGAATGTCTGCTTTTAAAAAAAGCTGAAGTCACAAAAAAAGTCAAAATCCTACTTTTTTTAGAAGCTAAAAATTTTAACTTATAAAAAAAGCAGAAGTCAAAAGCCAAATATTTTTTTCAAAAACTACTACTTTTATAAAAATATAAATAGCTTTAACTTTTGTAAAAAGCACTTTTAAAATAAGGAAGAGATAAAAGCTACTATTTTTGGAAGGCGAAACAAACGGGCTCTTAGACCAGTTGGAGATAAGTTCAGCAAGACCTGAGACTTAAAAAGAACGGAAGTTCAACAATATGCAGGCTCTCATCATCAGCCCTGAAGTTCATGAGGGGTTTAAGTTGAAAGAAGGTAAGTTTTTCTATAAGGATAGGTTGGGCTGTCAAAGGAGTCCACCTTCAATACTCAAAAGAGTTTCATGACTCTTCCTTGGGTGGGCATTCAGGTTACTTCAAAACTTATAAGAGAATTGCTGGTTTAATTTATTGGGAAGTAAGAAAAGAAGAATAAAGAATTATGTGGCTGCTTGTGATGTGTGCCATCAAAACAAGGATCAAAATCTTTCTCCTGTGGGGTTGTTACAACCACTGCCTATACCCACAGGTGGTCAGGGATGATATTTCAATTGATTTTGTGGGGGACTGTCACGGGCTTTTGGTGTAGATGCTATATTTGTGATGGATGACTGCTGCGACAATTACCAGATTTAGAACGTTGTTGTCCTCAGCAACAAACTATACTAGTCGAAGGACTAATTCTGCCAGGTGGAACACACACACACACTTGTTAAACAGTAAACACAGAATAATCATCAAAGCGAAATGTATAAAAGGGAGACATAATCAAACCATAACAGCAAAATAAAAGTCAAAGTAAGTGTCTTGGTGAAGTGAGTTGGCACTCAGGGCGTGGGTTTCACGCTGTGAGCGTGGAACCTACTGTCATTTTTTTCTTTCTGGCGCTCTCAGCGTGGAACTTCGGGAGCTTTGGGTCCTTTGACGCTGAGAGCGCAGTTCCCACGCTCCGAGCGTGGTATTCACTGCCTCTTTTGGCTGTCTGGTGCTACTAGCGCCAAATTGGCGCTGACGACGCCAATTCCCAGATTAAAATTTTTCCACATGGTCACTAATTCACCACTTACTTGACTTATTTAAAAATTAAACTAACCTAAGCAAATAAAATAAATAAAAAAAACAACTATTGGGTTGCCTCCCAATTAGCGCTTGTTTAACGTCACGAGCCTGACGTTGACAGATGATCAAGGTGGCTTATAGCAAAGAACCAAAGTTGGCTTTTTCTCCTTAGTCATAGTCATTTTTTTGGATTTCTTTATCTTAACCTTGGGTTTACTTTTGGTTCTTAATAGATGAGGATTCTTGAGCTTTGTTCTTCCATCTCCTTTGTCTTCAACAAATTGTGCTTGTACATCTGAGGGAAAATTTGTAAGGGATGAAAAATTAATTTTTAAATCAAGAATACTCCATCCACCTTGTGAATTGCCTCATCTTGTAGCTCATCTACCACTGCATTTGTGGTGACCAAGAATGGTTCTTCAAGAAGGTGAGCAAAAATAGGTTCCACGTCTATATCAATGACTGCAAAATTTTCTCTGTACTCAAAGTTGCCCGCCTTCACTAATACATTTTCAACAATATTAACCAACACTTGAATAGAGCGATTGGGCAATTGTAGAGTCATCTTCGCAGATCTTATATGCCTTATTCCCATTTTCTCTAATAAGGTCATTGGCACTTGATTCGCATTAGTCTCAACATCACATAAGGCTTGCTCAACATGTATGTCTACCATGGGGCCAAGGGTGTTAGTGCTTCTTTCGCTGCATGCCTGAATTGAATCCACAAGATTAGCTTCATCGCATTCTTCCTCATTTGAAGATCTCATCTCTAGCTTCTCATAGTTTGCATCTTCTTCAGTTTTATACTCCTCCAATTCAAGTGTTTCATCATAAGAATGTAGGAGGGTAATTGCCATTGGTGAGGGGGTCTCTTCTCTATTTGTTCCAGCTTCTTGCTCTTCTCTTACTTCAAAATACTTTTCAACTTTGGATTCTTCTTCTGCAGTAGATTCCTCCTCGATTTCGAATTCTTTAGTAGCTATTGTCACATCTTGATCCTTCAAGTATGAATTTCCCTCAACGTCTTCAGTGACTTGCTTGAGAAGAGGTGCGGCATTTTCTATATAATTCTCTTGAGCTAGAATGGATGACTTCTCCTCAGCTTCTTGCTCAACTATTGGCTGGTCCTGGAGTGCTTGGTATTCGTCGTATACCACTGTCTCAATCATATCAAGAACTTCTTCAGGTTCCATAGTGTAAAGTGGTATTCCAGCTGCTAGATCTAATTTCATTCTTGAAAGTGGGCATATACCGCTATATAAAATGCGAACAAATTCAGAATCTTCAACTGGACATCTTCTGCATAATTCGTGAAGCCTACCCCAAGCTTGATATAAATGTTCTCCCTCCTTTTGTGCGAGTCGATCTCCTTTTTAATCTTTGTGGCTTTGGATGGTGGGAAATATTTGCTTAGAAATTTGAATTCTATGTCCTCCCATGTGGTGATGCTTCGTCGAGGTTGAGACTTCAACCACGTCTTAGCTCTACCTTTTAGAAAGAAGGGAAACAAGTGGACCTTAATGGAGTCTTCAGTGGCTCCGTCTAACCTTACGCTACTGCAGAAATTCAAAAATTTATCTATTAGATCATGAGGATCCTATGCATAATCACCCCCAAAAAGTTTTGCACTTTCAATGCAGAGCAATCCGTCCTCCAATTCTAATGGAATTTCAAATTGTTCAACCATGATATTAATAGTACATCATAAAGAAATTTTATTTTTATTTTTTTTATACAAAAAAATGACATAAAAAAAAATAATTTAAAATTTAAAAAAATAAAAATACATAAATAAATATATAAAATAATAAAAAAAAACAATCATAAAGATCTAAAAGCTACGAACAATAAAGAAAAAAAAACCAAAATAAAAAAAAAGGAGAAAAAATATTATAAAAAGTAAAAAGTAAAAAATATATATATATTTATATAAAATTAAAAAAAAAATCCAATTTAGAAATTCAAAAGTTAAAAATAAAATTGGCGTAGTCAATCCCCGGCAACGGCGCCAAAAACTTATTGCGTAAAATCGGCAAGTGCACCGATCGTACCAAGTAATAAAAAGTGAGTAAGATATCGTCCCACGAGGATTGAGGCACCAAATTTAATTTTAACTATTCCTTCCTTAATTGGATGAACAAAAGAGGTTTTTGAATAAATAGTATCGTGACAATTGTGAACCGTTCAATATTTCGTGAACAATTCAGAGAGAAATTTGAAGAAATTAAAATCAAAGATTGAGATTTGAGAAAAATATTTAAAGAAAAATTATTGCAGTAAAGGACGCCAACACTTTTCCGATCCCCACGTTGTAATATTGATTAATATTTATATTTAATTACGCAATTGACCAAATAATTCACCATCTATAATTAATGAGTTAAGCCCTAATCCCTTAGTGATCTTAACTTTATTAACCCTATTAGAATCCTAATCCCTTAGAAATCCCTTTTCAAGTTAATCCTTAAGCCCAGTGAATTTTCCACATTTGCAGTTCATGTAGCCTATCCCTAGTGCATACATGAACAGTTATCTTACTCTTTGTCAGGAATTAGAATCCCAATATCCCTATTGTGAACCCTAACCCTCGCAATCCTAATAGAGTCGCGAATTCTAAAAGAATTATAAGATGAAGAACAGAGTAAAATAAATTCAATTGAATAATTAACCATAAACTTGACCAAAATACAAGGGGTTCACCTCAACCCTTACCACAATATAAAAAGACTAGCCAGACATAATCATGTCTGACAGTTTAAAATAAAAGGATTCATAGAAAAAAGAAGAAAAAGAAGATGAATGATCTTAAGCGTGAGCCTCCAAGAATTCTCTCCAGCCCAAGATGATGTTGTTTTAGAGTTTCTGCTTCCTTTATATAGCCAGCTACTCAATCAGGTCATAATCCTTGAATTAATTCTGATTAAATTTCCATTTTTCTCATAATTCCACCAATCAATCAGGTCATAATCCTCTCATTAATTTGATTAAATTTCACTTTTAATCAAACTCCACAAATCAAGGAATGCATTCATGACGCCTGCGCGATCAGCGCCAAATCCGCGCGGATCGCGCCATTTTTTGCGCGAGACTATGCAATTTTAACTTCTCTCTTTCACTTCATTTTGGTGTTTCCTGCTATCAAAATGCATAAATTGAGTGAGAGAATGATTGAGAAGGAATAATCAATATTTCTTGCATTTATGAGTCAGGCTCGTGACGTTAAACAA